CTGTTTGTTTTGTTGTGAACTCAAAATTTTTTCTTTTTTTTCATCGCTTACTCGATATTTAGAACATTCGCCTACTATTGGACCCTTCTCGTTTGAATTGAAATTATTATGTGTTGATATCTCATATGTAGCTTGTAGCTTGTGTGAAATTTGAACTAATAGTCAAAATTAATCAATCAACTCACAATTTATTTCTTTCAACATTCAGATTTAAAAGAATCTTATTTATATCTTTCAATTTAAAATAAAGAATTATCCTATCTTTCAATTAAATTAAATACTATAACTAAATATGTTCCTAAATTGTCAAGTGGGCTTAACATATTAGCTTGTTCATTAGGCTTATACCACAATGCAACTTTCTATAGCGTTGTAAATTAATATAACTATATATATATATATATATATATATATATATATATATATATATAATATTAGGAGAAGAGTTTTTTATATTTTGTGAAAATGGTGTGGATTTCAAGTATTTACAATAAAATTCAAAACTTTCTTCAATTGAGTAGTAAAGAAAAAAAGAAGGTAACATATGATCACGAGTTTACACCATTAAGATCGAACGACTTTATGAACGATTAATTGATCAGAGTTTATCAAGTTTGATCGATATTGTATACGGATTGTATATGAAATGGCGCTTTTAAAATTACTAGAACTTTGGGTTCAAACCTATTATTTAGCTAATAGTATAATATAATTCCTTTTTACCAAGTTAACGATGAATTATTAATGAAAAACTCTCTTGAAAGAGCGTTCCGGGGGGGGGGGGGGGGTAGGGGGTTTCCATCTATACCCGCTTTTTGTGTCACGTTTTAACTTGTGCCCGCTTTGCAAAATATTGCAAGCGTACCCACTTTTTTGCATAACTTCAGTATACGGGGCTGAAGTAGCAAAGGCAATCACGCAAAACTTCAGCATTATAGTAGACGGGCCTCAAGTAGCAAGTGTGCTGAACCAAGTGTGCTGAATTTTTTGTTTTGTAACTGGCGAACTTCAGCTCTAGAGCTGAAGTTTTTGTTTTATAACTGGCGAACTTCAGCTCTAGAACTGAAGTTTTTGTTTTTGTAACTGGCGAAAGTTTTTGTTTTGTAACTGTCTAACTTCAACTCTAGAGCTGAAGTTATTTAGTTAACCTAGATACTAATATTGAAGAGATTGCCATTTTCCCTTTCAAAAGTCCCCAGAACAAGATCGTTTAATTGTCGAGCAAACTTTAATGCTCCAAAGCTTTGTGCCGTTTTCTCAAAGAAAAACAAAAGGAAGTTATCATTAGTTATGTCTGCTCGACTGTATAGAGGAACATGAAGAGGCTAATGGATAAAAATTCTTATAAATTTATATTGAAAAAAAAATCAAAGACAATCAATGATAGAATGCCAGCCTCTGCTTATGTGAGAATTGTTATATTTTGTGCCTGGAGCGTGTAAGAATCATTAATATAAATAAAGTCTATTTATGCTGATTGAGTAGTATCTTTAAACAACTTCTGCTTAGCTGGAATTCTCTTGTATATGATTATGCAAAGCAAGGAGGAGGAGTATGGGGGCTGAAGTTATTTAAAAAGTGAAAAAATAGGTATAGGTTAAATGGGGGCGACCAAATAGGGCGCCCCGTGTAATTTTTACATTCCTTTGTCAGCCAAAGCTATGGGCCGTCATTATTATGAAAAGACTCAATGATCCACTGATCTTTATATATATCTTCCGGTAATAATTTTAGGTACTAAATGTAATTGAGATTTTTTTGTTCCTATACAATATTTGAAACTTGTTTACCAAAATTATTCTAATTTTATATATTACCCTCCCTAAATATGGATTATTTACAAATTATATACATTCCACCTTAAAAGACCCTCAATTCATTATTAGTGCCTTCAATCAAGATATTTTGTTACACTTTTTTCTTTTCTTTTTTCTTTCCTCTCTCCCCTCTTCTCTCCATCTCTAACTTATATTAGGGATTTTTGTTTGATAATTATTTCAAAATACATCCGTCAAAGCCATGAGATACTGTTGAAGTTGTCATCTTTCTTTTTGGGGTCTTTTTCTTTCTTTATTTTGATGGTGGATTTAATCTGCATCCTCGGATTGCCTAGGGCTTTCCAGTTGATTGAAACCTAAAATTAAAACCCCAATCGCAATAGGAAACCATCAGAAATGGCACCGTTTATTAAGATATTCTCGTTGAAAATGAAGAACATTGGGAAAAGGGCTACAAAGAAGTACTTGGGAGATGGACTTTACAACCATGAGAAGGTAATGTTTCCAAAAGCAGGCAACGAAAAACCTACATCGAACATTGCAGCACAAAATTTAGTATCTTCTCGGACTTCAGTGAAGATAAAATCAACTGAGAAAAGAACAATATATGGTACATCAACATACAAATTAAAATAATTTTTGTACAAATTTAATGCAAATTTGAATATGTACAACATACATAGTAAAAAAATAAATTTTATATAACTGATTGTATATTATACAACATATCTATAACTTTCATACATTATTTCTATCCAGCTAAATACAACTACAATATTATACAGCTTAAATACAATTTTTATACAAATTATGTACAATATCTCTTTTGTATATTTTGTATCTGATTTATACATTGTAAAAGCAAATTTCATACAACTGATTATATATTATACGATTTATTTACAACTTATCTACAACTTTCATACATTATTTCTACCTAGTCAAATACAATTATAATATCATACAACTTAAATACCATCTTTATACAATATGTCTTTGTATATAGTTTGTATTTGATTTGTATATGTTTTGTATGTGGTGTGTGCTTCTTCCTCTCTAACATTACAATCAATATACTATACGATTTATTTACAACTTATCTACAATTTTCATACATTATTTCTATTTAGTCAAATAAAACAACAATATCATACAGCTTAAATACCATTTTTATACAAAATTTATACAATATATCTTTGTATATATTTTGTATCTGATTTGTATATGTTTTGTCTGTGGTGTGTGCTTCTTCCTCTCTAACATTACAATCAAAACTTATTCTCTTAATACAATTTGATACATGTCAATAACTTTATGTAAAAAGATAGTATTGATAACTTAAATACAAATTTCATACAACGATTCATATATTATACAACTATTTCTCATTTTTTCACACAACATTCATATAAAAAAATATAACTACAATATAATACAATTTACATACAATTATAATACAACTTTACTACAATTTCGTAAATATATTGTATGTCATGTGTTCTTCTTCTTCTTCTTCTTCTTTGAGTTTCAGTCTGAAATTCAGATATAATCAAGTCTAATCTTCACCAAACACCCTCAAAATTGAGATATAAACTCCAAACAATATTCCCAATTGTTTGCAACAACACCCAATCCAAACAAATAATAATTTTTGAAAACCCAAAATTTGATTTCAAAGCTTTTTAATGGCTGTCAATGATGGGGACTCAAACACCTTCAAAACTTATTGATTGACAATTTCAATTTGAACACCAATTGTGCAACATGAAAGAAAATTGCTAGTTAAAACGATTAAAATCCATTAATGAATTCCATTAAAACTATATACAACAAGAAAGCATAAAAAAACAGAGAACACCAAATGAAGAAAAATTAGGGGAAAAAACAGAGAAGGAGAGTAGAGAGAGAGGGAGGGGGGGGGGGGGCAAGTATAAAGGGATAAGAAAATAACTGATATTCCTTATTCAATTCCTAATATAAAGGGATACTCATTTAAAACTTATTTGTATATAATTGGTAAATTGTATATGACCATGCAATTAAATTGAAACTTGAGTAGGGAGGGTAATAAGGTTTCAAATAGTGTATATGAATGTAAAAATCCCTATACTATTATTCCCTCTGTTTCCAATTAGATGATATATTTCGCTTATCGAAAATTAAATTGCGTGAAGTTTGACCAACAATTTAAAATATAGTTTTTAATCATATTAACATGAGAAAATTACAACTTATAGTACTTTTTATATAGTTTTTGAATATCTAAATTTTAATTTTAAAATACTGAGTTGAATTAATCGAATTTTGCTACAAGTTTAGTCAAATTGACTCCAGATAAGTGAAATATGTCATCTAAATTGAAACGGAGGGAGTAATATAAAAAAATATATATATTTCCTGTTATTAATTTTTAGAGAAATATATTGTATAGTTTTTCTAAAGAAAAACCATTGGAGATTGTAGCCAATTTACTAGCTTGTCCCGCAAACCTCGGACTCCACCCCCTCTTTCTTTTTAATTTGTGATAACTGGAATTCACTGATTTGACTAGTTCAGATTTATACTGCATAAATTTCTTTAAGGATGAAGCACTTTCATTCAAAAATTTCTATTTTAAGATCTCGAACTCAAAATTGCTAGTTAAGGTTTTAAAAAAAAGAAATTATATTATTTATTCTACCACAAACCTTCATTCTGTCACTCGTTATTGATAATATATAGCAGTTCCTCATTTACCTGCATTAATAGCTAAATTGTTGGATATGAAGGAGCTGGCTTTGTTTCAAAAATGTTTGCAACTAATACATTGTAGCTTTAGAAGGTTAGGCTTTGAGAACTCAAACCTAATTATAAGTNGGGAGAGCCCATTATTCATCATGTTTTGAACCTTGCAACATTTGCCTCGGGGATTTCTTAGTTAAAAAAGTTGAGACACAAAATAACTTGCTTTCTGGTGTGTGGATCAATCAAATGTGATAAAAAGAAATAGTTAATTTGGAGAATTGAAGTTAAAATTAGAAAATAAAATCGCAAGAACCATGAAAAAAGACTATACATAAAGAAAGAAAAATAAAATTGATGAGAAGGTAAATACAAAGTATTATTTAATTTAGTGACAAATTTTTTTTCAATTAACTCAATCTTACGTCTATCAAATGTTAAAATTTAAAATCTTTTATTAATAATTATATAAATATAAATTATGGATTATATAATAATACCGTAGTTTTTATTTTTGGGCCGGCCGCCGCCCTTGGCGATGATTGTTTGATTGAAGGGTTGAGGTGGAGGACTAAGGCTAAGGTGAGAATTGGTGATGGAATTGAGGTTGTAGGGGCAAAGAGGGCGGTGAAAGTAAGGAACGTGGACATGGAAGGAGATGTTGAAAGCGATGATGGTTTGATTAAGGAGTTGAGGTCAAGGAATAAGAGTAAGGCGAGGAATGTAGGTGAAGGGGAGGAAGAGACAATGACATTAGCTGAGATGCAAATGTTAGTAAAAAAGAAGAGGGAAGAAAAGGCGGAGATTGATAAGTCAGTGAAGTTTAATTTAACAGAAAAGGTAATCGAGGAAAGAAAGGAGACGGATTTCAGTTTGATAGACGAGGAAGATGAAGTGGAGATGGAGAGGCTTATTGCGAGAGTGAGAGAGAAGAGGGTGAGGCGTGAACCGATAAAGGGGGGTGGTCTGGAGGATGGAGGAAGAAGAAGGGTTTCAAGTAGGAAGAAGGGTAAAGGGTCTAGGCAGGATGATTTGGAGATAGTGGCGGAGAATGAAAAGGAGGAGAATGAGAAGGCGATGAAGTTCAATTTAACGGAAAAGGGAAGTGAGAAAAGAAAGGAGACTGATTTGAGTTTGATAGAGGAGGAAGATGAAGTGGAGATGGAGAATCTTATTGCGAGGGTGAGAGAGAAGAGGGTGAGGCGTGAACCGATAAAGGGGGGTGGTCTGGAGGATGGACGAAGAAGAAGGGTTTCAAGTAGGAAGAAGGGTAAAGGGTCTAGGCAGGAAGAAAATGAGGAGAATAAGGGGATGAAGTTTAATTTAGCGGAAATGGAAAGTGAGAAAAGGAAGGAGACTGATTTGAGTTTGATAGAGAAGGAAGATGAAATGGAGATGGAGACACCAATTGCGAGGGTGAGAGAGAAGAGGGTGAGGCATGATTTGTTAAAAGGGGATGGTTCGGAGGATGGAGGAAGAAGAAGGGTTTCAAGTAGGAAGAAGGGTAAAGGGTCTAGGCAGGATGATTTGGAGACAATGGCAGTGGAAACTTTTGATCTTCATAATTTTGACAAGGACAGAGTAGAGAGGAGTTTCAAGAAAGGACAAGTATGGGCTGTTTATGACGACGATGGAATGCCAAGGGATTATGCTTTGATTGATGATGTTATTTCTGTGCATCCCTTTGAGGTGAAATTGAGTAGGTTGGAGTTCCAAAGTAATAGTGATGAGGCACTGCTACATTGGGGGAAAATGGGTTTTCATATTTCTTGTGGGAAGTTTAAGGTGTCTAGGCATGCTTTGGTTAAATCTTTGAAGAAGTTTTCACATGTTGTTGATTGTGAAAGAGCAGCAAGAGAGTTGTATAGGATTTACCCCTCGAAAGGTTCAATATGGGCATTGTATAAAGAGAATGCTTTAGGTGCTGGCCGCAAGACTCTAATGGTTGAGGATAAGCAATCTTATGATATTGTTGTATCTTTGACTAGTTACACCGACTTACATGGCGTGAGTATTGCATATCTTGAAAAAGTTGATGGGTTTAGGACTATTTTCAAGAGGAGAGAGATTGGGGCTCATGCTGTTAAGTTGTTAGGGAAGGATGAGCTTGGGTTGTTTTCGCATCGGATTCCTGCAAGGAAGCTATCCGATGAAGAAGCCTCAAACATCTCCAAGAACTGTTGGGAAGTGGATCCTGCTTCATTGCCTCACGAGCTCCTAGCTATTTGGGGGAGTTAAAGTGTATGCATATCAGATCGAAATGGACTTCTTGCACTGAGCTATTACCTCTTGAGTGTCCATTTTAGGTAAAAATGGCATGGATTGAGCATGATGTTCTTCTAAAACAGTCTGTTTTTAGAAAGTACTCTGCTCACATATCAAATTGTATCTGGTTCCTTGCCATCCTTGTAAACAGACCAATGCTGGTATTACACTTCCACATTTGCTCCAATCTCCATGCCTGTTGATAAAATACATCTTAGTTATCCCCGGAAATAAATATGATTTAGTAAAAACGTTCACAAAATTGAAATACTGATGAAAATATGGAGCCATCTTGCTTCTCATCACCTTTTCTACACTTTTCCTACTACAGATATTTATTTTGCTCTTCATTATTCATGATATAACAATCATCGGCTTTATCCTCTACTACTGTCACATAGGAACAACATTTAGCCTGAACCACGCACATGAAAATTATATAAGAAATGTTCTATTTGCTGAAAAACATTTTTTAGTGGAACATACTTTTGATGACCATTGCTGATGGAATATATTCCTTGTCGAAAATTTTGTTGATACTCAAGAAACCCTTTGTCACCTTCATGCTTACCCCTATTGCTGTTAATTGTAGTTGGCCTAGATGTATGAGTAAAGTTGGTCAAAGTAGTCCGAGAAGCATAAGATACAACACCTAGAAAAAAGCACCTATGTCTCCAGTCAAGCAGTGGGAGCAAGTGGTGGATCCGAGGACAGTTTCCTGAGAGACTTCATTTGTCGCCCTTCAGATTTTGGAGACTTTCACTTCTTCTCCTTGAATGTTAATTGTTCTTATAGTAGCTTCTTTGCCTTTGATGGTGGAAATTGGGTCTTTTAGACGAGCATATGTAACATTTAGTACTTGTATCTGCAGATTTTGTTACTCTCTTAGCAGAGTCTTCAGGAGCAAGAGACCTTAATGGTCCTGTAAATTTGGAGTAACATTTACCTGGTCTGTAAATCTGATACATACATAAATGGTCCTCTATGTTGCAGAACCGAGGTTCACTTTTAGTCAACCCTTGATAGAAATGTTATACAACAGTGTGACCGCATGCTGAATTTAATACTGAAATGAACAAGGCTTTCATCTTCCAGATCAGACGATCATCAAAATGACAAGGCCTTGCATAATTTCTCTGGATTTTCTCCTTTTGTAGGTCTATCTCTCTTATGTTTTCACATTTACTCAAGAAATAGACCATTTGATCATCTCTTCATCAGTATTGGATTAAACAAGATAGCGAGCTTCTCAATAAGAACGGCAGACTCAGGTATTTGTCCTGGAATTTTCAAGATAGCTGCATCAAAAAGTGTATATTCCTCAAGTTGTACAGAGTTAGTTGCCTCCATCTAATGCCGTCCTATTCTTCTCCTTTGGAAGGATTCATATCAGTACAACTCGAAACATCCCAAGCCCGGTGTCTACCACAGGCCCAGCTGTGTAAAATGTCATCAACTGTACTCAGTTTCATCCTCTACGATGAATGTCAAATTGAGAATCAACCATGTAAAACCAAGGCTTTCTATATGAGATTGCGCGGCAAGGTGGAAAGTGGGGAAGTTGCTGTAGATTTCCACCTCTTGCATTATTGACCTGTGGTTGAGAGAACTGTAACTTTCTCGTTGGATTCATTTCTGATCCCATCACCATAAATGTAAACTCCAACAGAAATTGCTGCAGTTCATAAACTACAGTTAGGCAACAGAGGCAACATGTTAGGATTAACTTCTTTTAGGGACTATTGAAATCTTTTTTTCTTTCCTAGTTTTATGTACAAAACTATGTTTTCGTCTAAGTAGCATAGTTTATAAGTAGGAGAATTTTGGAGGTACACACCAACAACAACTACTACAACTAGTAATATTTCTACTTGTTACGATGATTACAAACTTAGAATAGGTATCTTTTTTTTTAAATTGTTTTACGTACTCCCTCCGTCCCAAATTTTGTAGTGATTTGTGGATTTCGAAAGTCAAATTTTGTTGTGAATTTGAATATAGAATTTTTAAATTTTTTAAAATAAGATTGAAACTTGAAACTTATTAGCCATTAGTCTTTTTTCCCCCGAATGTAAATATTACTAATACTGCATTAAAGAAAGAAATTGATCAAAGGTGCCCAATTCAAAATTTTCCTGTTCCTGCCCCTTTTTAATTTGGTTATTAATTATATAAATTTTTATATGCTAATTATGAGAAAAAATGATATCGGTCTAAAAACAGAAAAAATTGTCTCATGGTAAAAAAGAACTATACTAAAACATGACTTGTACTTCTCCACAAATAATTGGGAATTTTACATAAATGTCCCAAATAAGTCCTAACTTATTAACCTCCAGTCATTAATCATAGATTTACCAAAACTAACCAAGCACATATAAAAATTAAAAAAAATAAATAAATAAGGTTCTTTCTCTCCAAGAATCACACGAAAAGTTCTCCTTCCATATTTGTAAGCGTGATCAGCAACATTAGATGCAAGACGGAAAGGAAATTTCAGTGAATGAGATAATAAAGAAGGTGATGAAATGCAAAAAAATATGTATACAAGATTTCAAAATTTTAAGCAAAACAGGATCCTTTTCAATAGGTATGATTGAAATTCACTGAAAACATACAAAATATGAGGGACATTGGAGGTGATTTGAACTGATGCTAAATCAAAATTCAAAGTTAAATAAATTCTTATGCGATACATGTATCACACACATACAGGTATTCATGTGATACACATTTGATACAATAAGATACATATGTCATACACATATTATTTTCTTCGTGTTCATCTTGTACTTCGAATTTTCAATTCAAATCACCTCAAAAGTCCATCAAACCATCCCAAAATTGAAATTCAAATTTCTTAAGATGTACCCAATCTATTCTAATAACACCCACTCAAAAGAAGCAAAAATTTGATTTTTTTCGCTACAAATAACTAATTAGTTAATATTTTATAAATTAATAAATTTTTACAATAAACTACTTATAAATAGACATAACTAGTAGTTTTTCTAATTTTCGTCCCTACCGGAAAACAGTTAAAACTTAAAACCCAGCCCGTAGTTAGCAACTTCTATACAGAGCAATAAAGTAAGTTGTAGAATTGCAAGTTATAGGTCGCAATTTACGATCGCAACTTAAACTTATACTAGTATAGCTACCCGCGCGATGCGCGGTCAATTTCAAGATTTTGCTTGTTATAAAATAATTGTGTAAAGCTTATATGAGAGAATGCTAGCATATTTGGCACACTTGACATTTTATAATAATTATACTTATAAAAGACAAAACAATATAAATGCATAGTTCATTGTCTAAATTTGTTAACCATAATTTTTAGCATTATTTAATTAGTTACTATATTTATTTTACAAATTAATCAATATCATAAATATACTCAAACAATCCCTATCATCCTCTTGTATGCATTTTTTTTACTATAATATTTTTACTTAATTTTTTATTTAGTGTTTTGCCTATAATTCAAATATTAATTTTGAACTACTTTTATTTTGTTTTCAATATGATATATTAAATTTTAGTTTTAACTATTGATATTATCAACATATGAATTTGAATTATAGTTATTTTTATTCAATATCTATTAAGATTTCAGTTAGACGGCCGTATCTGTGCAATATATTTTTTCTGAAATTCAAAGACTTTCTCATATCAAATTCGAGGGGCAAGTGCACAGATAACTATTCTCAGGGATGCTATTTAGGAATTAGCCAGTACTTATTTTGTCATGAAATTTTAAACTAAAAAACTTAATTTCAGGACAACTCAGGACATTTTTGTCTTGAAATTAAACTGAAAAACTGAAATTTAGAATACACTGACTAATTTCTAAATAGCAGTCCTTCAAAGTGGCTACTTGGTGTCATTTCTACCAAATTCAAATATGCTTATCCTTGTTCCATATTTTTTGTTGTGATTGCATGTTTAAGTACTTTATTGTTTATTTGTTTTTCACTCATGTCCGTGCCTATCTCTCCTTTTTAAATATATAATATGAATAAATATTTTTACTTCTTAAATCTAAACTATTTCGATACTCTTATTTTATTACTCAAAATTGCTTCATTATTAAAAAATAAATATTATTTCAACCGCTACAAATAATGTAAATCAACGGAGATTTCAACCGCTGTACTCTTATTCTTTAATTGATTGCTTGAACTTTTCGTAACTTACAAACAGAAATTTGATTTACTATTATTCCATAAATTATATGGATATTTTAAAATATTATATTAAACTTCCAAAGCTAATTTGAGTTTTCCAGTCGTTGAATAATTATACAGTTACTAATCATTAATTTAGACCAACTTGATAGAAAAAAATGGAAAAACAACCATAGTATGTGCTGATGTTTCAAATGAACGAAATAAAGAACATAAAGAACTAAATTATTAACACCGCAAGAAATGAAAGATACATGGGAGAAGTCAGGGTATGTTTTCGCAGATAATTGATTCTCTAAAGATGGTTGTAAATGCAATTTTTCATAAGCTATATTCAAGTAAGTCATAGCTCAGAGATATCATCACTATGGAAAAAAATAAGCAAGGAAATACAAAATTACCATTAATTATATAGTGTTCCTAATTGTTCCATGTTGTGTTGTCCACGTATCAAGCTAAACTCCTTCATATGTAATGTAGCAGATACAAATATGAAATAATTGGCAGAGAATGAATATGAATATGAATATTCCACATATTAAAAGGAAGAGCACAAAATCGAAAAAACTTTCACCAAATAGGAAAAAATCGTAGGAAACCGTCATTGTTAGAACACAACAGTTGACAAAACTTATTTTCTTCCGTTGGTAAACATTTAAAAGCCAATAATTAACAAAAAAGATAATAATAAAATAATAATAAATAAGCAATCAAAAAGGGGGAAAATAACTGATTTTGATTTTGAATTTAAAAATAACTAAATAACTTATTATAACTAATCTAACTAATTTTATCCTAAAACTACCACATGTCTTTTTCCTATGTTGCCACTTGTCATAATTCTAGACTAGACTTTCTTCCTTTTAAATATATATAGATTATAAAATCGCATTTTGCAATAGCGACGTATGGTCACCAACTCCCACTCGCTTCCAGAAGAGCGTGTCTCCACGCTCCATCTCACAATTCCTTTCTTCATCATCACCACCTTGTTTAACACAGTCCAAGGACCCCACTTCTCAACTCCCCCCCCCCCCACGAAAAAAAAAACTCCCTCTCTCTCCTTTGATTATTTTATCTAACCAACTAATTTTTTTTAAAAAGTAGTTTTTATGTTTTGCTAAATTTTCATATGGCTCATTTTGGCTAAATTTATCAAGCCTGCCCAAGTGTGTCCAAGTATTTTGCAACTGAAATTTGTACTCCATGGAAATGCAGAGGAAAATCATGCGAGAGAAGATCGAGACCGACTCGGTTATTTACCCGACCCGATTCTACTCCACATCCTCTCTATGTTGCCGGGGCCGTACAATAAAAAATTGTTACAAGCAGCGTATTATCTAGACGATGGAGGTTTCTTTGGATGTCCGTTCCAATATCACTCGATTTCAACTTCCCTATTAGCGAAAGCGAAAAGGATACTCTTGATTCCATGGCTTCCACCCATAGAGAGCTTCATTATTGGAGGTCTTGCCGGAAAATTCTGAAATTTAGGGTGTGGGGCCTTAGATACGAGGACCGTTATGCTAAAGATGTTGGTTTATGGGTACAATTTGCAACTAAACTAGCTAATGTTGAAAGTTTTACACTTGGATTTTGGTCTACGGATCAACCGAGATATGATTTTCCTCAATTTGCATATAAGAATGCGTCCTTGAGGACTATGGATATATGTTAGTGCCAATTGAACCCTTGTGGTAGTGTTAATTGGAGTAGTCTCGTTTCTCTTCCATTCGGGAACCTTGACGATGTCATGGATATCCATATTATTCGTGACTTCTTACAATTACTTTTGGGAGAATTCCTAGTCTCCCAAATTTGATGAACTCCCAATTTTGAGGCTTTGCAAATGTAAAAACTAAACTCACTTGTTATTCATTTGGTTATCCATTTTTGATCCGTTTTTAAAAAGTTCATTATCCAATTCATTTTTAATGAATAATATGGATGGATAACTGCTTGTAAGTTGTCTGCTTCTACTATTCCAGTATTCACTGTTGCAGTTACTCTAATGATGACGTACTCCTTTTTATTTACATAGGTTTATGTGCTTTAATATGCTAGTGATGAGGTGCTCTTAAGCTAGCGTTTTGCTATAAATTTTCAAAAATTTGATTCAGGTGAAGTTTGAGTTTGAAGATGAAAATCTGTTTGGACATAATTTTACAAAACATATTTCACTTTTTTTTTTTAAAAAAAAAACATGAAATGTGACTTATACCCATAAGTTTTAAAAACTAATAAAAATACCCGACAACTCTGAAGAAAATTCATATGAAACATGCGAATCAAATCTGAAGAAAATTTATGCAAACATTAGCAGATTTTAGTAAATTACCTTCAAAATTTGTCTTGCGGGTGCATTGTCATAGATTGGTACAACAACTTTGGTGAAAATTTTCTTCTGTTCATAGAGAAAGACAAAGCCGTGTGAATTTAATAAGAAAAAAGTGGGTAGATATGGATTAGTTGGGTTATAATAACAGAAAGTGAGATTTTTTATAAAATACAAAAGTTTGGGGAGCTAGTTTTGGATTTGAAAATTTGCCAAAATATGGATAAAATCTATAAACAAACAGGTATTTGCCAAATGAAATTTGAAAAAAAAATTGACAAAATCTATGGGGCTAATATTTTTGTAGCAGTGTG